ATGAAATGATCTACGTTGTTTCTGAAGGTTGCCATGAAAATTGTAAAGAATTCAATTTATAAAATAACTGTAAAAGCCAAAAATCACTATTTAAAGAAACTTCCCATTCCTTATCAATCTGTAAAGGTCTAATATTCTAAATTACATATAAGGTCATTGTTAAAAGGTCTACATAGATGTGTGGTGTTCAGTTCCAAACATACTGGAACATTCTTGCTACTATCATGGCACCATCTGGTATTTGCAAATTGTGAGGAATGGTTTGTAAACCCGTGACTGAATCTCAGGGGTAGGAATCACTAGTTTTTAAAGTGACACTAAATTCTGGTTAAAACTTTATACATTCAAGTACCCTAACTATTAACAAAAATGCATCTGATTTGTGTATCACTCGGCTGTAGATCCTCAAATCATCTCTGAATTGGTGCTGACACTGTCCTTCCTTCTGGAGGGGGGGCTACTTCTGCTCCCCATGGTCCCTGTGTGTGTATTGTAAAATAGTAAACGCTCCAAGCTCACTCCCAGGATGGACTACAATCTCATGTTTAGTTTACTCCTTTGTATTAAGATTGTAGTCCATCCCGGAAGCGAGCTTGCAGCAGTGACTACTTTACAACACACACAGGGACCATGGGGAACAAAAGTAGCCCCCCTCCAGAAGGAAGGACAGTGTCAGCACCAATTCAAGAGATGGTTTGAGGATCTACAGCCGAGTGATACACAAATAAGATACATTGTTGTTCAGAGTTAAAAGATACTTAAATGCATTTTTAAGATTAAATGTCTGAGTTTAGTGTCACTTTAAAAACTAGTGATTCCTACCCGAGATTCAGTAACTGGTTTCAAACCATTCCTCACAATTTGCAAATACCAGATGGTGCCATGATAACAACAAGAATGTTCTAGTATGTTTGGACCTGCTGAACATTGTTGTTAATAGTTAAGGTACATGAATGTATTTTTAAGATTTAACTCCTGTGTTAGTGTCACTTTAAGGGCAGAGAAACAGAAAATTAACTTCATAAGGCCATACACTTATATTATTCTGAATGACGACAAGTCTCCTCTTTCCAGCTGAAATTATTTCGATCAGATGCAGTAGAATGATTTAGCATCTGCCGCTTTTGAAATTATTAGATTGCAGAATGTATAATTTTTTCCTGTCAATTATTTGTCATGTGAATAAAAACAATTCTTTACATTTTACTTATTTTACTAGAGAAAAAGCCATCAAAGCTCTTTGTCCTTGTATGTAGAATGGTTTGCTCATATGATCAGGTGACTTCAGTGGTGGACTTTATGCAATTGTTCAAAAATCGCATCCAGTGTATGGCCGCTTTGGTGTAATAGTCCAGTACGTTTTCCTTATAATTATGTCCGTTTCGTTCTATCATTCACCATGGTTTTCCACTACTTGGGCAATTGGCAGTCTTGCATTTGCTGAGAACCGGGGCAAATGAGGCAACCTGAGGTCGTTGCCTCAGGTGGCATCTCATGGGGGGGCCACTGGGTGGTGGTCGGGGCAGCAGGGGAGTGGCCACAGCATCCCAGGTTACTGAGAGCTCTTAGCAACCTGCGACGCTTCGCCTGGCATCCCACCCTGCTCATGGGTTGCAAGAGCTAAGCAGGACGCTCTGGCTTTCTTCCCACTGAGCTCCTGGGAACCAGTGATGTCAGTGAGCTGGACAGGACAACACACAGAGCCGCTGAGAGCGCGGTCCAGCATCCGCAGTTTCCCCCCCCCCCGACAAGTGTTCCTTATCAGCACCAACTCCCCCAACATCGCCTCAGGCAGGGAAAACCATAAGGACAGCTCTGGCTGAGAACTTCAACACCCAGAATGCTGGGTCATCCTACTCCAAACATGGGCAGAGGGGCAGTCTGCAACATGCATCGGTTTGTGGCCAAGATGTTGAGTTAGCCATCAATTTACTTACTTGGGCAGCCGCCTCGGTGGGCTCACTTGGCCACTCCACAGCAAATGTGGAGTCAGAGGAGATATCACCGAGACCCTGGTCCATAACACTAGGTACAGACGACTCCGGCTGGCAGCCAGGGAGACAAAAGGAGGAGTATGACAGAAGGAAAAGTAATGGGTATGAGCAGGGTTAAGGGTAAGAAGAGACACAGGATTCCATGAAAAAGATGAAGACAGTTCCCCACTTCCCTACTACAGTACAACACACACAGGAACCATGGGGAACAAAAGTAGCCCCCCTCCAGAAGGAAGGACAGTGTCAGCACCAATTCAGTGATGATTTGAGGATCTATGGCTAGCTGAATGGAAGGTTAAAAAAAAAATCCTAGAACACAATGGCCGAGTCTTTACAAATTTAAGATATTTGAATACCATTTTTTTTGCGGTCAACAAAATTAATTAACATAATGGCCGAGCCTCCGATAGTCTCAGTTGTGTGCAACCTGACACGACGTCTTCATCACAGCCATAGAGGTGTGCGGTTAGACAACTCTAATTCAATCATGTTTAATTAGACCTCGTCTAAGGTCACCCGACACCCCCCATTCAGTCTCCTTGGTCTGGGACGGTGGCCAAAACGCTGCCAAGATCAGTCTGGCTGAGCGCGTCATTTCATTTGGTTGGGTGAAAAGATAATTATGTGAGATGCATGTTGAGTGAAGGTTCCGAACCCGGCTAATTTCAGGGAGCCGTGATTAAATCAGCCCCATGAAGGGAGCACAAATGAGCCTCCCAAGTTATTTCTCAGAGGCCGCAATGTTATTTCTCTCTTCATCATCCCACCAAATATTTCAGTTTTTAATAGACATTCGACTCCATTCATTCACCAAGATGGAAGAGTTTCAAAAGGCTATATCCAGCCAAAAGGTGTTTTTTTTTTTTTTTAATATAGTTTTCGAAAAGGATTAGAACCCCTGTAAGCTTTTTATTGCTTCAGAATGTGGAATAATAGTGCTGGAACCCTGAGTATTTGTAAAAATAAATGTATATTATCCAATATGGTGGATATAAAGAATTTATAGATTATACATATTTTCATATAATAATTTGATACATTGTATAAATACAATATTTATTGCTATTAATATTTTTTAGTATAATCAACATTACTATTATATCATTATACACATTATTTTGATTATTATTATTTTACTACTACTATTACCAACATTACTATTATATTATTATACACATTGGTATTATTATTGTTAATTTTTTACTATCACCAACACTGCTATAATGATATACATTTATTTTGTTACTTTTAAATCACCAACATTGCAAATATAGTCATCAATTTAGTTTAACTTTTTTTAGCAGGATTATTATTTCTATGATTCTCATTTTTACTACCAATATTATTATCAATGTAATATCTTCTTTTTTTACGCCCTTATTGATATTTAATCCTGTTCCCTAATCAATCCTGTATTAAAACAATAAAATATATAAAAATATATTTTTACTATCACAAACATTTTATTAACTATTTTTTGGGGTTGTATTCTAGCCCCGATGAAAGGGTTGGAGCTACAGCCTCTGAAATGCGTAGGGCTTTGTAAACAAGCCGTCTTTAGAAAAAACTTGTGCCTGGACTTGGATATTATGTTCTGGCGATTAAAGTCCAGACTTGCTCAGAAGAATATTACAAAGAACACTAAAACTAAAATTCAATCACCCCCCCTGAGAGTTTAAACCCTCTTTATAAAAGGACATTTTGTGTGCTCATCGGGGTGGACAAAGCATTGGGAGCTTTTTCTATTCCCATATCCAGAGAGGTTCTGCAGTCCTGATACTTCAGACCCGTCCTCTGAATTGAACTCGAGGAATCTGACCAGATGCATTTGTGGCATTGCGGATGAATCCGTTAAAAAAAAACACGTCCGGGGAATACAATTCCCATAAAGGTAACAGGAGATGAAGAATGCGCATTTTTGGAAGATGTGAATGGGGAGTCTTAATACTAAAATCAACATTGTTTTCAAGCAGTAGGAGCTCCATAGGAAGACTGATCGGCGATCTCCATATCATAGAGCAGCTGGCTGTTCTTCAGGGCTACAGGGTGACACCAGGAAGTTCATATTCACAAAGCAGAGTGCAATTATGTCAGTGCATTGAGGAAGTCCATCCTATGGCCATCTTCAATAAGATGCCACCCATGTGCCTCACACTCCTTTTGGAGAAACACTCTTGTTCCAATCTTGAATAAGTAAATTTACAACTTCTACATGGATCTGGTTATTAGGATTGGGATAGAACTTATGGAACTATAAGAATACAGATTTATTTTTAGTTTTTGACCATAGATACCGTTAAAAGGTCCACTCAACTGTTGACTTCATCATTGGGCTAGCCTGGTTGATTACGAACAAACATATGAGGCTGCAGTGAAGGAGACAAGATGGAAGCAGAGACGCTACACAGGATGAACAAAGCTCAACGGCCAGTCCCTGTTCTGGCCACAAATGTGCACGACACAAGACATAGGTAGGTTAGTGAGTTAGTTTCCTTACCTCCCACATGTCCCAAGGCACCGACTAATCGCAGCAAGAACGAAAAGAACAAGCATGTTTACATCACTGACATGACTAAAACCAAAAAAATGCAGTCCAAACACATTCACAATCCAAAATCATAGAACAAGGTGTTCATTAAATTACATGTCATAATGAAGGTACGAGTGCATACCGTCCCCAAAAATACCATAGGAGTGACTAGGGGCTGGTAAAAGCTACAGTCACCTGTCATAAGAGTGATCCCCCCACGCAGCTTAACTGGAATAGTGTGATAAAGCCTTGAGAAAAAAAAACTAACCCCAATCCTAATACCATGTCTGTTCTTCCCTGACACCATCAACGGTCATAGAAAGGAAACATACATACTTAAAGGGTATCTAAAGCCAAAGCATTTATTTTTGGATAGAGCATGGATGGATGAAAAAAAAACTGTCCAGTCATTGTCTGCTGGAAAGATTCACCCGTCCTGGTTAAAATAAAACTGATGGGAAATCCAAAATGGGGAGTTGTCACGGAACAAGAATAGGAGGGAAATCTTTCAATGGTCTTTAAAAATGGTTGTGTTTATATTTCTCTTTAATATCCATTTCATTTTAAAACGATCATTTTATAATACTGATCAATGTCATTTGTTTGTATTATTTTATGAAAATTATGTGAATCTTTTTTTTACCTGAAATGTTTTATTTTAATGAAGCTAATAAAAATAAAAAGGAGAATGGAAGACTATAAAAAGTAAATCTTATTATATTTATAGCATTTGGTACTTTATATCAATATCATTACAAGTCAAATTAACTTTATGGAACAGAAGAACATGGCTCATATTTATAATCTTCTCCTTGTTATAGAATCGGTTCCCTTTTATCTGAGGAAGTGACCGCTCATTATGAAAACATGTCCTTGGTGTTTAGATATCTCTACCACAATGAAATATTCTTGCAGTCCCCCCTCCCCCATTATCATACGGCTTCTCGAGTTATACTACAAACCCTTTTAGGTGCTCCTCTGCTACAGTAGAATCATTCGAGCTTTTGTCATTCATGCCAAGTTAATTTTACTTTTCTGAAGTTCCTCAGGTGGACCTCAGACTCGGCTTCTCCAAGCGTTGAGAGTGGCCACATCTATACCTCTGTGGGGGCATTGAATATATAATTCTCTCCAAGCGTTTATCAAAGGTGGTGAATTGTTGAAAGTGCTCGTTGTACACCATACAGCGTTGTGAAGGTTGTAGATAAGATAGGTGCTAGAAGTCACCGCCATGGATGGTGCCGTGCAGAGCCTCAGGAGATGTGAAGATAGGTCACCAGCATTCAAAGTAAATATTGTTTATTGCAATTAACATCACATCGGTTTAAAATTGCCAACGTTTCAAGGTTGCACCGGGTCCCTTCCTCAGGGCAATACAGTGACTGATGTCCTTGAGGAAGGGGCCCTGCACAACCCTGAAATGTTGCCAATTGTTGACCTATGTGATGTTATTTGCAATAAACGATACTTTAGTTATCGTCACAATCTATGGTGGTAGACACCAATTATTAAAGGTTATCACATCCTAACCAGGTGTATTTTACACAATCATGTTGCTTTTATATTTGTTTTAGGATTTTATTTTTACACTACAACTTAACACTGCACCATCAGGGCTCTCCTGCCTCTTGCTGTCCTCATTTCCTCACTCCAATAACCACATAATAAGATACAGATAGTCTTTAAGAGGGGGAGTCACCTCACTTTAGAGAGATTTCCACTCACATCCTGTTGTATCTATGGAACAGCAAGTGAAGGTAAAATTTCCTTAATGGGGCATAAAAGACACAAACAAAAAAATGGATGGGTTTTGGCTTCAGATATACTTTAATTAACCTAAAATAAATAATTACCAAACACTACAGGGGTCCGTTTTATTACTTTTTTTCCACACAACTGTCACACATTTTTCTACTTGATTCCATTTGGATAATTTGTGTTAATCTTTGGTGAACGTTAGATAGTTAGTCAGGTTGAAAAAAAGACACAAGTCCATCGAGTTCAACCCATAAAAGTTGTGTGAATCTTGTGCGAAAACATTTTATAACTAAACCCCTAATACCAATCGCCTCAAATATTCTCATGTATGTTAAATGTCCTTTCTCTTTTAGCTCAAGTGCTGATCAACGAAAATTGTGCGATCTACAACTGGTGGACAGCGGAGACAGGCATTTTCAAGGGCAGCCCCTGCTACCACCATAAACTGTCAGAGGCCTGCTGCTTCCGCCCATGCGCCAAGTCCGGGTTCCCGTACTACGCTTGCGCGCGCCACGGATTGGGTGCGGGAACACGCGCCAAATGGTGCACAGGAAGTAACGCTCTCCAGATATTTTCCTCCCGATTTAAGCTCAGACTCCACACCAACTCATTGGCTGGATTGTCTCTTCAACCGCCCTGACGTCTCCTGTTCCTTGTTACCAGTACCTTTGATTATTGACCCGGATTGACTTTGACCTTGTTTGCCTGCAGCCTGCCCTTGACCTCGGATTGTTTGACCATTCTTGTTTGCCTATGCCCTTGACTTCGGATTGCTTCACCGGCCTGCCTACGCCTTCTCCTTTTGTACCTGCTCTGCCTGCTTGGTGTGACCTCGGCCTGTCGACCTCGGATATCGGGATTTCCACAACCCTGCTGCAGAACCTGATATTGGCTTGCCAGCTGGTACCACCTCTGGCACTCCTGCCACTCATTGTCTATAAGGACTCTGTCCCCTAATACCAGTGTCCCTAGGACACGAGGTGCAAGGGAAGCCCCCTCCCACATCCAGTCTCCACACAGGTACGTGATATAAACCAATCACTAATAAGTGGAACATCGTGATGACCTGATCAATTTAAGTATATTATCAATATACAAAAGTCCCCCCCCAAGCATAGTTACTGAAAAACACACCTGAGATGCAGCGGCAGTCGAACTTGAATCCGGTTTGAGAGGATCAAAATCCAGATCTAGTAGGCTGGGCTCCTGCACTGGGGGCCACGCAGCCTCAAACTTAGCAGCACAGAGAAAAAGGTTAGTGGGAATGTTAGATAGAATGTTATGGGAGAGGAACACAAGAGCAATGCAGAACCGTTCTAGTTAGTAGTGAAGACAGAAGAACCAATGGGGCCATCACGCCCTCTAGAAAATCAAAGGGGGTGACCTTAAGTGTTCTCCATAGAACGTTTTCCTACTATTTGGGATATGTTTTTCTCAAGTTTCCATTGGCCTCACAAAATGTATATAACTTAAGCTAAACACCTTCCTAGTGGTGTTCATCTGAGAGCCAAGATACATAGACGACATGTGCGAGATTTAGGCATATGTCAAAGTAAAATTAACGATATACAAAAAAAGACACATGCAGTCTTTCGCTGTAGTACACACACATTTCTCCAGGATTTATCCCTTTAAAGGACCTGCAAGTACAAAGAATACCTGTTGATCTGCCAAAAATGCTCCAAGCCCGATTGTGGGCTGACAACACAGCATTTGTGTGGACTGAGGGCTGTCAGCCCTGCCCAGTGTAATTTGCTAAACTGGTCAACCAGTCCCACACATATTACCCCAACATAAGGATGCATCATAGTCCAAAGAAAGAATTAGGACTCCGAGATAAACACAGGAAGTGTGCACAGGACAGCTCTGAATTTCTGGCAAGAACGGGTATGGTTTGTACTTTCTGAAGAGGCATAACAAAGCATTTCCAATAGTATATTAAATGGATCAAAAGGGGGTAAGAGAAGTTCATTGTTGGGGTTTATATACAGTTTAACAACAATACTTCATCTTAGTTGCGCCAGAGATTCTCCGACATATCGGAAAATCTCTGCATATAAAGTCTAATCATTTTTGACTCTTGCAAGCACGTATTATTCTATACATGACCCCACTGTCACAACAGCGGTGTAAATTTGTAGTGCTGACTGAACCGCAAATGGTCACCCAAAGCCAACGCATGGTTTGCAAAAGATGATCATTTTGTTATATTTTATTAAACCCAACGCTTGTGTTTACTCTCAGTTGTAATCTGTTCAACCTTCGGATTTCATATACAAGACAGTAAAATGTGCATCAACGCGGACATATTGAGAATATATATATCATATCATATATAT